AACCGAGACCACCCTGGTCCCTACTGATGTTTCCATATTTGGGTTACCGGACTCCTACCGGTTACCACACCCCATCGCAATCTCCTAGTCACTTTCAGCTACTTCTGAAGATACCTCGACTATCTATAACTGTTCTACCCACTCTGCCACTCATACTGAATCGATGCTGCTGGAACCAGCCTGCTTATGTCTCATCTGATTACTCAACTTCCAATAGCTCGAATCTTCCATCCTGAAAGAAAGGCTACCTGCCCAACTATCCTTGCAGATCACTCATACTTGGCAGAAGACTCAACCGATTCTGCTGAGAGAGACTTGCAATTTCAAATCGACTAACTATACCGTCGGCACTTGCATTCTAACACAAATACTAATACTATCCATAACACTGAAACTATCTGAAACACTGAACTGTCTGCAATATTGAACTGCCTGAAATACTGAACTGGCTGAAACACTGAACTGGTTGAAGCACTAAACTGACTGAAACACTGAACTGACTGAAGTACTGAACTGGCTGAAACACTAAACTGGCTGAAGCACTGAACTGGCTGAACCTCTAAACTGCTATATGGTTGCTTCCCAAAATATCTCAAGACCTTCATGGTCTTCAATCATTCGTCGGTTATCTGCAACACCGAGTTCCAACTCAACTGTGGAGCCCAAGGACTCCTTATTTAGTCGTTCCCACGACTTTTGAACGAAATCTTCCTCTGGAACTAGTTTCCACTAGTCATATTGACACTGTGACCCTAACAACCTCCCGACCCAACCGACCGGGTCCATACGTCAAATCCTGACATCATCAAATCCAAGACTAAAAATGATGGCTCTAAGACTAACGGTAGCCCTTAACATACACGAACCCCAAGTGGTCCACTGCTTCCCTGATCTCATAACTATGGTGACGATCCACTGATAAATCGCTGATTTAACCATAACTGAACCATTTGGTAAATCCGAAATCTAATCCGTGGATTCCCATATCCTTACTGCTGCACCCAAACTAGTGGGTACTACTGCTTCCCCCGCGTCTAAACAACGCGCTCATGCTTCCTACCAGTCTGATAAATGCTACAGCTACACCCGCAGACTTACAACTCTCTAATACTATCTGGCTGCTAGTGAATGCTACGGCTACCCCCGCAGACTTACAACACTCTACTACTATTTGACTGCTAGTGAATGTTACGGCTACCCCCGCAGACTTACAACACTCTACTACTATCTGACTGCTACTGAATGCTACGGCTACCCCCGCATACTTACAACACTCTACTACTATCTGACTGCTAGTAAATGCTACGGCTACCCCCGCAGACTTACAACAGCTTCCTTACTAACTGGCTGTTGCTGGAAAAATGTTGTGGCTTTCCCTCCGCTCTACCATGCTCTGAAGGTTGTCTCTGCCACTGCCTACTAACACGAAAGCATATCTTGCTAACCGTTCTCAGGATCCTCATTCCAACTCACTAGAGTCCTACAGGTGGTCCTCCAACCCTGGATTCCCAACCAGCTACTAACCATCTTGATTACATGAACTAACTGTTGGGAAGTTCCTCAAACTCCCAATCCTGAACTCCTCAATCCATCAATCGTTGTGCTACTATCTTTTCTTCACAGAGACCGCGTACTCATTTTGGATTTGCGTACTCTTACCCTTGTATACTCGGAGGGTTATCCCCCACTTGGATCTGGCTAACTCCTTACTGCTGACTGGTCGAAAGGACTCCCCAACCTTCCTTCCATGAAAAGGGGCAATCCGATGTCCACCCACGTTACCTTTGTTGGCGCTCCAACTAACCCTTACCAGATCCGAACCATTCCTGTTTAACTAACCGAGCACTCTTCAATCCTTCACTGAATTCACTTTAGTGACTGCATCCTGAGAACTTGTGTTCAGGGTAAACATATCTAACTCACTTCCCTACTATCCGCTAGCTACTTCGCTATAAGCTTTAAATCGTCACTGCTGAGGATATAACTGATCAATACCCGAATGACATCTTCCGAAAGTAGTGAGGCACTACTGAATCTTACACATACATGCTACAGTCACCGTATCTGAAGTAACCTGATCTAGAGGGAAAGACCTCCAATTTACCATTCTAATTCCAAGGTATGCAGATGGCATAAAACTCAGTCACAAACAGGTAATATAATACCCCACCACTTATGCTTATTGATATCAATGCAACAACATAACAATAATATCATGAATAATAATTGACAGGAAGGTAAACGATACGTACCCCCATCATTCAGTGTTGCTCGAATCCTTATTGAAATCAACCGGAATACTCGGCTCCGAGCCGTGGGCGCCCTTGCCCGACCCTGATGTCTGATGGTGGTTCTCGAAGTCCCAGGGGCAGGAACTAGCACCTGCCCTACTGTATACAAACTCGGACAGTGGGCCTTCTTGTGGCCCCTCTGACTACAACGGAAACATATCGGATCAAGCCCCTGAGCGATGGTAACAATACAATCTCTACTAAAATGGTCAATCCGACCGCACTTGAAACATCCAGCATCACCAGCATTTCTACGCCTGCACACACCCTCGTGCGTCCTACCACACAATTGGAATTCATGATTCCATTCCAATAGAATTGGAATTCGTATCTTACCTAACCAATTGCAAATAAAATCATATTCCCCAGCATAAACAAGCATCTGAATACCATCTTCCAAAAGCACTGGAATCCCAACCTTGAAGTTGGAACACAAGAATACCCTGTTTGACTTAGGAAAAGCCAAAATTGAACCACTTCACATCTATCATGAATTCCGATTGACATCCATTAAATCCGGTGTATGTTCTAAATTCAATTCTGATCGTGATTGATCCGGATTTTGAAGATATGATATCGACTTCCAATGAAGCTTGCAATACACAAACCAATTTTGTATCATCTAATGCTCGTACAGTGAACAATAATACCGATTTCTGCTTCTAAATGATTTTAGTTGCAACATTCAACCCCAAGTTAGTAATATTTGAAATCGTTGAAGGCCGATACGATCGATTTCTGTTTTAGGGTTAATGTGATTTCAAAATCGAGTCCAGAACTATGATTCTAAAGATTAGACATCGTTCCAAGTGTGCGACTGATCTCCGAACGAAAGTGGCTTGTGCGAATTTGATTCCAAGTGCAAATCATAATCAACAAACGAAATTAGAATATAAAGCTTGAACACGAACGAAAGTCTTACAGAGCGAAACCGATTTCCCCTGACTTTCGCTTCTTGACTTGCAAATTCTGGTGAGTTCGGTGGCGATGGTGGCTGATGGTGTTGGTCGGCGAACGGGCAAGCTCCAGCCTCTTATCTTCTTCAATCATCGACATCGGTTAGGTTGAAAAAATAGGGATGGATCGGTGATAAAGAAGCAGTAACAGTTTCAAGGGATTTAAAGGAAAGCAATCCAATATTTTACGGATTAATTAAATTTTTATTTAATTAACAAAATTAATTAATAGGTAAGATTATATATCCTTATTTAAGTTTTTGAAATGATTGACCCACATTTATGCACACAATAACACAATACTTACTTTAAACACCTAAATTTTTCTCTCTCTCTCTCTCTCTCTATGTATGTATGTATATATATATATATATATATATATATATATATATATATATATATATATATATATTAGATAATTAATCAGTAAATTATACTTCAAAATTCAACCCAATATAATTAATTGGTTAATCAATGAATCATACTTCATATATCATATTTAGCTAATTATACTTCACAGACCGGTTAGTTAATCATATTTAACACAATCAATAATAAAACATAAGCAATACTTATCATTTTATCATACTTCAAACATAATCACAGTTAGCAAATAAAATGATTAAGTAATTTGATAGTTAATCATAATGAAATACTTTAAGTCTTAAAGACAATTAGCAAGACAACACGTATATAGTTTCAATGGAAGTCACAAAATTACAATTTTATTCAATGGAATGGCACAAAAGTTTTGATTTGGGCTAAGAAAAAACAATTTTATTCAATGGAATGGCACAAAAATCATTTTTTATATAAAATAGCCCCAAAAATGGAATTTATTCAAATAACGGTTATAACACCGCTATAACGGCGGCCATAATCACAGCACCAATAGCGCCTATCACTATTTATTATTTTGAAGTAGCATTTCTGCCTATCGCTATTTTGAAATAGCATTTCTTTACTTTTGCTAACGCTATAGCGGCACCGCGATTGACTACATAGCAAGCAAGTTTGAATACAAATTCATTTCGATAGGATCTTCCAATCCCGATCCGATCTTACGGTTACGATCTCGCAAAACATACAAGTATTTTGGATAAGATCCCGATGTTAACAACCTATGGTTTTTTTGACATTTTTTGTTCTCGTTACATTCTACTATCAAACTCATTACAAGAAACAAACTTTTGTGCCATATGTCATGCAAAAATATTAGAAAAAACAATTTTTTTTTCACCAAAAACCAAAAAATGTCGATGCAAAACTTAAGTCTCAACAACAGAAAAATACAAAGGCGATTGCGATACAATTATTAGTAAAGTTTCTCTACAGACCCGTTCTAATTTTGATTATTCAAAGTTGCAAGGGACAGATGCAGCAGAATGAAATTTGAAGCAAATCCCATTTTACACCAAAACAATTATAAAAAATTAGTTATTTAAAATGGCCTTCCCTCCTATCTAGGAAAAAACTTACCCATGCCTAACCATTGGATTGTACAATAACCACAATTCCCATTGTATTTGTCTAGCATGTTTGTTTTCTAGGGCTATTTTTATGATGAGGACGAAAATGACATCTAGGTCTTTTACACAAATGAGAGGGATAGAGAGCAAATTTTATCTCATTCGCATCGGTCATCGGTCTGAGTTCAACGCATGTCGAACTCAGTACATGTTATGTTATGTAGTGTCCTGTAAACGGGTCCTTAATGGCATGACATATAGTTTTGATGCAATTCAAGAGAACATCTGTATGGCAAAAAAAAATTGAGCATGATGTATGTTATTGGGATTCAGAATTCGTGGTATATATTATGCTAAAGTTGAAAGGAATAGCATTTAACATAGTATTGAATGGTACAAAATAGAGAGACTCTTTATGTTGTCGCCTCTTCCAAAATAGAGTATCTTGAGATGAGAGTTGAGAGTTGAGAGAAATATTACAACATTAACTAAGCCTTATCTTCATCCGACTGTGAGCATGGTGGTCCGGGAACAGAATCAACAAAGAACTCATCCACTGAAAATAACATTATCAACACATTGAGGATACAGATGAAAAATTCCTTTCACTAATATTCAATAATACCTGAAATACCCCTTAATATTTTAATCCACTTGTCAAATTTAAAAACTTAGCTAAAAGTTAAAACTGGTCAAACAGGTTCAAAGGTGCCCAAAATGTGTTAAAATATTTACATCCTCCACAAAGTACAAGATACTGATTTTGGTTAACAAATTTTGTATTAATAATTTAGTACTTGATTATATGTCAAAGACTAGACAAACTCAAACAATGCATTTTAGGGTTAGGGGATAGTGGAGCTTGTAAACAGTGTTCTTACCAATGTCCTCTTGCTCAGGAGAATCAAGCAATATATCTGAATCAGAAGGCAGAAAGGGTGAACCAGGATAGTTTCCAAGAGCCCCTAGATCTGAAAAAACAAAACATAATCATACTTGCTAGTTGAATTATCAATCATTCAAACAAGGGAGATGAATGAATGGCTAATATAAAGATGGTACTCTTAGCTGTTAAAAAAATGTTAGTACATTTCTATTATGATTTATGAGCAATGTGTAAAGAAAATGTAAGTATTTTGCTATATGGGTTAGAATTGGTAATGGCCTAATATGAATAAAAAGAAGCATAAGGACATTGCCTTCATGTGAGTAAAAAATAATAAACTACATTGCGTATATTAGTAAAAAGAGTCCATTCTTAAAAAAACAGTAGCAGTATATATAAACAATCATTTGCAAACAATGGGCACATAAAATGACAGGTAAAATTTGGATCCCATTTACCTCCTAGGTTCGACAAGTCTGCTGTTAGATCTGAAAGGCTGAAATTCCATGGAATCTGACCAAAAGATCTAGAATTTCCATTATCTTGTGGTAGATGCAATCCAACAGAACTTGCCACATCAGATGTAAACGCTGTGTCAAGTGCTGACGTGTCAACTCCCATTCCTGATAGTTCAGATGCAGTGAAGGGAAAATGACCACTGGATGCCACTGACGTAGGACTTATAGGCATATCTGACATAGGTGAAATCGCCCCATTAGCCGGAATTGGAGTTACACCACCACCACCTCCACCTGCATTGCCATCCATTACCATACTCCTGCAACAACACATGGAAAAAACTTTTTTTTTTTATCTTTTTTTATTAATTCGTCAAAATCAAAATATAATAAAACAAAACTCACTCGTTTCCAGAGTTCATTCGTATGGGATGAAAGTTACTGGGAGCAGGGACTCCATTGACCACATGACAGCTAGACATACCCATGGAATCCATATGAGGCTGACCTGGAGTCCCCATTGGAGGTTGCTGTAGAACTGGGTATCCCATGGGTAAGTTGTTAACTGCACTGAAAAGAGTAATATTGAATAATAATTCTACACTTTGTAAAAAATACAACTTCGTTCTTTGTAGCAAGGGATCACCATACCTGGCATGGGATGCACCCCATTGTGTATGGGACCCACAGGTAGCTTTGGAGGCATTGGGTACTTCATAAGGTGATATTGATGCTCGAGTAAATGATTGAAAAGGATGATCTGCTTCTTCAATTTTAACCTTATGTAGTAGGCTCTGAAAAAATCTGCATTCTCTTCTTCTAACTTCTGCCAAACTATCCACCAAAAATGGAAAGTTAACGTGACAATGCAAAAATAATAATAATAATAATAATAATAATAATAATAATAATAATAATAATAATAATAATAATAATAACATAGCGGTGATTACCAAGAGTAGTAAACCCAGGATCTATCCGTGCACGGTTTAATAGAGTTTTTACCACCTCATCCCTATTCATATACAACTGCAAACAGCGTTCTATCAAGTTTTGAACCTGCAACATTCAAGATTTATATAAACATACACCAAATCTTGACTTGTCTGTAATACTACAAGAAAGAAACAAGAACAAATTCCCTTACAAGTTCAATATCCTCCCTGGAAACTTTTCTGTTGTCATTGCTGGAGATGGAAACCGAACCAGAGTCAGGGACAGGAGTTTCTGTTCCATTATTATTTTGGTCACTTTGAGACTCATGTTGAGTTTCCGGTGTGTCCAGGGATTCCTGCATATAGCTTCTTAATTTCCATCACAATGTGTAAAACTAAAATTATGTCTCTTTTTTAACAATTATAATACATCAATATGATTGAAGCAATATTAATCAAGTTACTTCATACTCCCTTGTGACTGTAGTATAAAAAGAGATTTCAAGTTCATAACGCAAAGGTCATAACCTGATTGTTCTTCATCGCCGCTAGATGCTACCAGAAGGCATCTCTCCAAGGAAATTTTGTTGTTACCTAAGCTAACTTGTTCAAAAATAACGACTCTTTGCTAAATGAAGATTTTGTGATTTCGTCAAATTTAACCTGAAAGATAATAGACAACATAAATATGATTGTATGAAAATAAATATGATTTTATGGGAAAAAACGTAATCTATAAAAATATAAAAAAACATAAAAAGGATAAAAAGACCATTAAATATGTAAATAAATTTATAAAAACTAAATTGTAAAACAAACGTAAATAAACAAAAAAACAAAATTATAATAAATATAAAAGAAGTTCGTAAAACTATCTTTTAAAAGAAGTTAAAACCAAAGTTAGTAAAAAGGTGAAAAAATTTATAAAAAAGATCTACACCAAATTTATAAAATAATTAAAAATGATTTAAACACTATAAAAAAGATGAAATGAAAAAATTATACTGGAAATATATCAAAATCGGAAAGGAACCGTCCTCCTCCAACGGATGATAAATGCGTGTCACTGGTCCTAGCCACTAAACTGCCACATTACTATTTTAAACCTACTTGAAGCACTGTTCCCGATCTAGATTATCGCCAAGCGCCACACTACGCCGGTAGCTGAAAAAGCAGGTATTCTCATCTCCAAACACATAAACTATACATATCTTATCCTTATTTTCTCCTTCGATTTCTTTTTTTTTTTTTACCGAAAGGAAGAAACTCTATTGACTGTTGCAGATCTGAACAATACTACGTTGTTAAGTAGGTTTATACTTCAGTTTTACATACCAGATTTCATAGATCAATTATGTTTTTCTTACAAGTAATCGAAGTCAAAGTTTGTTATGTTCAGTTATTTAGTGGAAATTGCTAACCTAGTTTATTAATATTTTCTAATTTTATTGGCGTTTTGCCGTCCTGGTCCAGATGAGCCAAGCTTCTACTGCAAAACTGATATGGTCTTTTAAAGTATCTAACGAAAATTGTGGAGTTAAAGTTGATGAATAATAATTCGCATATAAATAAAACAACGTTGATGTCAAATATGTAGCCATCTTATATCTTCAATTTTACAAAATAATAAAGTTTTGTCTATTATCTTTCAGGTTAAACTTGAAAGAAATTGCAAAATCTTCGTTTAACAAAAAGTTGCTATTTTTGAACAAGTCAGCTTAGGTAACAACAAAATTTCTATTTCGTTGGAGAGATGTTTCGGATAGAATCTAACGGGGATGAATAACAATCAGGTTATGACCTTTACGTTATGAACTTGAAATCTCTTTTTATACTACATCGATCAACGTCGACTGTTATTTTCTAAGATCTAACATAACCTAGAACAAATTACAAAATATCACATTATCAATATATCTAACCACAAATCAGAAGCCTAAATCGCTTATTAAAAACATATAACAACTAAACATCGTAAGTCTAGATTACCGGATGTGGAGTGGTGGATCTGAAATTAGGTCGTCGGCAGGAGGACGGCGACATACGGACTGAAGCAAGCGGCAGAGGGTGAAGCACGATGGCCGACAATTACAGACTCGAGTGGGTCATTCGATTGCTAGAGAGAGGCACGATAGTCGAAGATTGCTAATAGGGTGTGATGAAGACGAAGAAGCGAAGGGGGAAGACGGAAGCAGGAAGAACTGAAGTTGTGTGTGTAAGCCTGTGAAGATGAATCTCTCGTTCTCTCTGTCGGCGCCCAAAGGAAATGCAAGGAACAAACCTAAAAGCCAGATTATACGCCTATATATATATATATATATATATATATATATATATATATTATGTTAAAACCGTGAACATGGTTGTTGATTTTGAATTTAAAAATTAATTATTTAATGAAATTATATTTTATTAATTAACTTATGAATTGTAATATTGTATTTTTCAATAAATTTTTTTATTTGTAAGTATTTAATTACAAAGTAATGGGAAGTATTTAATTAGGAATGAAGATTTTTGAAAACTTTTATTTTTTATACATGATTTTTGTTGAACATATGCAGATGATGCATTATGAATGTATGTAATGAAATTAACATAAAATACAACAATACATAATTAAAAAAAAAAATACAGTAACATGATGGATTAAGTGTGGTTTGCTAAAAATGAATAAAATATGCTACAAAAAATTTGGCTACAAATTTCGAAAAACTTTCTTATAAACAACATTGGAAGTTCTATTTGTGAGTTTGCCTTCTTTATCTAAAATTAATAATTTTAATCTCTCTCTGCTCTGAACTCTAGATGAGGCAACATACAATTGTTCATGTGAAAAAACTGGATCTTTCAGAAACAAACCAACCGTTGATAACGATTGTCCTTGACTTTTATTAATAGTCATTGCAAAACATACGGCCAAAGGAAACTGTCTTCGTAATATATATTATGCTAAAGTTGAAAGGAATAGCATTTAACATAGTATTGAATGGTACAAAATAGAGAGACTCTTTATGTTGTCGCCTCTTCCAAAATAGAGTATCTTGAGATGAGAGTTGATGTAACATCCCGAAACTCAAGTAAACTTTATAACCCTCCTACTTTTGCAAGTTGTCAAGATAAGTCCCTTAAGTTGAACATTGGACTTATGAGTACGCTTTTTGGATGCGAACTCGCTTGGGTACGTTGGGCGTACCCACGGTTACGCTGGGCGTAATGTGCCTAGATGCAAACCCTAATTATGGCTTGTGAACTATAAAAGGAACGTTAAGTCCTTTACCCCAGCCACCATACTTCATTGAGTGAGCCCTAAGAGAGCAGAAAACCCGTTTTGAGCTTGTGTGTGTGTTCTTAAGCTTGAAGGTGCCTTCTTAAGGTGAAGAAGGAGAAGAGGAAGCCATTGTTAGAGCTAGAAGTTGGAGAGCAAGAGTAGATCCGAGTTCTATAGAGGTTGGAGCTCCTTTTTGAGGTAAAAAAGTGTAACGACCCAATTTTTACGTCCGAAAATTTCATTTTTAAGATATTACTTTAGAAAACATTAATAAATAAAAACATTGTTTAAATAAAAAGAAGCATTGTTTGTTCACACCATAACACATTACAACCATGTTCTCAAAAGCCAAACCGTACATCCCATCAAAATATCAGAGTACAATCCCAGAAAATCTCATAATTGCGGAAACCGAAGAGTGTGTGTAAGACGTGCCGCTACCGCGCCGGCTCCTTCCCCTTCGATGCAGAGGTACCTGAAAACAAAACTGTAAACGTAAGCACAAAGCTTAGTGAGTTTCCCCCAACGTACCGCATACCATACAAACACATAACATATATACTGCCAGGCTATTCTGGGGTGCCTGACTACCCGGTACGGCCATTCTGGGTGCCGACCTACCCATACGGCCATTCTGGGGTGTCGTCTTACCCGTGTCAAGCCATTCTGGGGTGTTGACTACCCATCGGTCCTAACAACCGATCCTCGGGGACTATTTCACCCCTACTACTACGATCACATATAACATAACAAGCCAGCATGCATATATATCATCGCATACTGTCAGACGTATCTGGGGTGTCTGACTATCCTTCGGTCCGAACAACCAAACTCTACTACTATCACATACAACATATCATGCTAGCATATAACATGTCATGTAATAGCGAACTTAGATGATATCACAAAGACAATCATCTATCATACATCTCCTACTGGTGGGTCGGCATTGTGGCCTTAGACCCACCGCTACTGGAAGGTAACTCACCTCGAAGTAGCTGCTGAACTGATCGGGAACTAACTGACTGCTGCTGCTCCGGGAGTCCTCCGGCTGCAATTTCCACGACATACTCAATCAAACACTGCTAACTGTCCTTTAGGTAAAATGACCATTTTACCCCTGGATTAGCTCTAAGCCAAAGCTGGAGTCAACTTTCAGTTGACCCGACTCGCCGAGTGGGTCACCACTCGCCGAGTCCCTAGCAAACCGATGTCCTGGGTCCCTGGTTCTACTCGTCGAGTCGGGCTATGACTCGACGAGTTCACCTTCTAACTGTCATTCAACACCTTCATCCTACTCGCCGAGTTGTATGAACAACTCGTCGAGTTCATCTTCATCCGATGAACACTTTATGCTAAGACTCGCCGAGTTGTATGAACAACTCGCCGAGTCTGTTCTTGAGCTATGAAGATTGCCTTGGACTCGCCGAGTCAGGGCATTGACTCGCCGAGTCCTAACATGGGTGAGTTCAGCTCCCAACTCACCGAGTCACCCCCTGTGACTCAAGGCTCAACTCGACACATGAAGAAGGGACCAAATCGGTGACTCGCGACCAGACTCGCCGAGTCACCTATGCGACTCGCCGAGTCGTCGCCATGCACTCCTTAAATATACCGATTTGCTCGGTTCCAGTCCATGCCATTCATAGATCTGGACTTCTAGGACACGAATCACACGTAAAGTTTCCAACTTTACGTGTGGATATTCACCAATATGGATTATAAGGCTCAAAATGTCTCAAAAGGGTAGATCTAGGGCTAACAAGCCTCATGGGGCCAAAAAGCTAACAGATCTGAGCTCCTGGAGCTCAATCTTGCATAGATCCAAAGGCCAAACGCCTTATTACGACATATAATGCACATACAAACTTGGGGAATTGACCAAGAAGGACCCAAATGAAGTTTTAAGCATAGAATCAAGGGGAAAACGGGTTATACCTCAAAGGAAATGTTGAAATGACACAAGGATGGCTGATCTCCTTCTCCTCTTCTTGATCTACTCCTCTTACTCTTCAAAACCTTCAAGAACACACCAAGAACACCTCAAACTCTCAAGGAAACAAGGGAAAACGATGTAGGGGGAGTTCTGGGGGTGAATGGGGACGAGTTGGGGCGGAATGAGAGTTTAAATAGGGTGCAAACCCTTGAAACTTAGGGTTTCATCCCGCAGCGGTGACTCGCCGAGTCCAGGATATGGACTCGTCGAGTCGCCTACTTAAAACGCGTCCTGAGTCTCGTCCCTACTCGGCGAGTCGGACCCTATGACTCGCCGAGTCTAAGGCTAAATTAGGGCAATGCTCAAATAAAATTCACATACCGGAAACCAGGTGCTACAAATCTCCCCCACTTATTTTAGACTTCGTCCTCGAAGTCTGCTGCCTGGTCCTGAAACAGCTCGGGGTAGTGCTCCATCATCTCGTCTACCGGCTCCCAAGTCCACTCTGAACCCTTGCGGTGCTGCCATTGCACCTTCACTAGCTCCACCCTCTTGTTCCTTAAATCCTTCGACTTCCTGTCGAGGATTGCGACTGGGCGCTCAATGTAGTTCAGGCTGTCATCAACCTGAATATCCTCCAAAGGTACTACTGCAGAATCGTCCACTAGGCACTTCCGCAACTGCGAAACATGGAAAGTGCTGTGGATCTGGCTAAGCTCGGCTGGCAGATCCAGCCTATATGCTACCTTGCCCACCCGGGCTAAGACCCTGAACGGTCCGATGAATCGCGGGCCCAACTTGCCCCGCTTCCTGAATCGGATGACGCCTTTCCACGGCGACACCTTCAGGAGGACCATATCCCCGACCTGGAACTCTAAATCGGATCGACGCTTGTCGGCATAACTTTTCTGCCGACTCTGAGCAGTCTGAAGCCTGCTCCGGACCTGCTGTATCCTCTTAGTTCTTGAGCACCACTTCGGTGCTTCCCATAACTCTCTGGCCAACCTCACCCCAGCATATCGGGGTCCTACACCTCCGTCCGTACAACATCTCGAAGGAGGGCGGTCGATACTCGCGTGATAGCTGTTGTTGTAGGAGAACTCAGCCAAAGGAAGATAGGTATCCCAGCTACCACCGAAATCCAGAACACACGCCCGCAACATGTCCTCCAAAGTCTGGATGGTCCGCTCACTCTGTCCATCGTCTGCGGGTGAAAGGCGGTGCTGAAATGCAGACGAGTGCCCAACTCGTCATGGAATCTCTTCCAAAACCTGGAAGTAAAACGACACCCTGTCCGAGATCACCGATACCGGCACCCCATGCCGTG